CAACATTTCTATCTTTATCCCATCAATCCCGGCTGCCTTACCCCTTTTTATTTTACCTACTGCCTCAACGAATTTCTTCACCCAAAGGATATATTCAAATAGTCTAAAATGCTTATTGTTGAAAACAATGGTTCAATATATTCCTGTCAACTAGGATAGGAGTTCAAAGTGAGTGGTTGAAGTTAATGATGTGGGAGTATTATAGGTGAGTATGTGTGTATTGAATATTTAGCATTTAGTCCTAGGTTGGATTAAATGGCTTTTGAGAAGAGTCATAAACGATTATCAACCTGGTTACTTTAATATATTCTAAAATGAATTCCATATTTTAGGGCCCTTTAATGTGCATAGAGTTTTTACATAAATGTGATATGGACACGAGTATATCAAAAAGAATCTGTGTCTTTGAGTTTGTGGTCATGTGTCCTGTTAAGAGTTTTGGTGAGGAGAAGTTTGAGTGGAGTGTTTTATATTTGCCGTGTCTTGTTTCTGTGTATGTAGTAGGCACATGAATAAGTATGGATGTTCTTAATGTGAGCAATTCAGACCTTTGAAAATTCGTGGAGTCTGCTGGCGGGAGGAGAATTCGTTATCATACTTACTGCTCCTTTTGCAGTGGTTAATGAGGGTTTTCGGTGATTGGATGTTGTAGATCCCCATGCACAAATTCCATATGTAAAATAAGGGTACATGAGTGTATGAGTACAGTGCCAGGAGAGCTGATTGTGGAACATAGTACCTTATCTTTGATAGATGCCTACAGTCTTTGGAGATTTTCTTGGTGAATTGTATGTAATGTGTGTCCGGAAAATGAAGGCTACTTTGTCAAGAGGGGTGGATACCTAGGAATTTTCCTTCCTGTGAGTCTTGTGGCAATGATCCATATATCCGTTATGTTAATATCGATCATATTGCAGACTTTGTTTCCAAACCTGACTGAAATAAGGTTTTTATACGTGTAGTACAGGGTAAGTTTATTAGTCATCATCGCAGGCCAGATATTGTCCGCAATTCCGGCATTGACTGTTGTTTGGCGTAGTATGACTGTGTATTGGTGTGGGAAAACAACATATGTATTTCGCATCTGCAAATAATACGGTTTTGAGTAGAGCTGTGATTCATTCGGTAGATCATTTGATGTAAGATGAAAAGAGGAGTGGTCCAAGGAGCTTCCTTGTGGGACTCCTACTTGATTGGTTGGTGGAAGAGTTTTGCATCATTCAACACATAATTGAGGTCTGTTACTAGGTATGATATTAGGTATTGTTGAGGGATTGGCTTCTGATGTCCTTTAGTGCTTTTATTTGGAGTACAGCAGTTCACAAGGTCCAACTGTATCGAAAGCTTTTACGTAAATCAATGAAAATGCCCAGTGGGACTTCATTTTTTTCGAGTGTGGTGATATTAGTTTCTAGCATGTTGTAAGATAGCATCATTCTTGCTTTTATTATCCCTGAATCCAATCTGACAAGGGTTTAATATGTGTGTGAAACAAGGTAGGAATTAAAAAGGATCCGTCTATGAAATTAATTTTTCAAAGATTTTAGAGAGCAGTGGTAAGTTAGATATTGGCGTCTATAGTTCTCAAGTCAGGCTTGGCACCTCCTTTGTGGATCGGAGTGACCCCGCTATTTTCGAGGATGTTGGGAAGGAGCTGATTCCATTGGAATAGTGATTAAAGCCGTTGCAGTAATTGGTAACATAACTTGAGAAGCATTTTTGTGCATAAAAGCAGGCAAGCTGTTTCAGTCTCGCACTGCTTGTTTATTAGGGTGCGCTTATGATGACGTAAATTTCTATGGGGTTGGTTGGAGCTAGGAAAAGCGTATTTGGTAGGAACCTATAAGGTACCTCAGATGTACGGGTGTTGTAATGCTTCTTCGCTAGATTTATACCTATGGTGGAAAGAAAACGTTGTGTCTGTTTGCTGTTTCATAGGGTTGAGTGGGGGTTACAAACATCTGATTTTGTTAGTTTGATTGTTTTGTTTTTGGTAACTTTTTATTTCCAAGAATTGCAGTATAGAGTTTTCCATGTATTTTTTTCATATTCACCCTTTGATGTATGCAATCTATTTCATAATAACAATTTTAGATGCTTCTTATCAGGCTGGTAAGTGCTGACTGGTAACGTTTAGACAAGACTGTTTCTCTAGTAATTGCCCCTTTCTATACCTGTTTTTCCATTTTGTGCTTTGTGTTAATGAATTTGAGAGGATGCTTGGTGTTAGCCAGGGATTATTCAGTCTCTTGCTGTGAATCTGTTTAGTTTTATTTGAGCAATGTTTGTTATAGAGGCTTTGGTGTTCTTTTTAGAAAATTATTATACATTCAAATCCAATAACTGTATATGTTCAGCGAGCTCTTTTGCCCATTGATTTTATTCAATATCTGCTATCAAAAGTTGTGTTACTGCAGTCTCGATTATTAGTCCGTAGGTTTTTACTTTAGTGATGTCTTTTGGGCAGTTTGCCCAGGACATATCAATGAGGAGTCATTAAAATATTGATAATATTTCACCCATTCTCTCATATGCTCCTCTTTTGACATTGCTTCACCACTCTCTTAACTTTTCTTTTTCTTCCAAATCCTCCTACCTCCTTGCATCACTTCTCTACTTGTTGTAAAAACTCCTCATATGCTGTACTTTTTCTCCTCCTTACTACTCTCTCTACATCATCAACCACCAATAGCTCTTCTTCCTTCCCACATCCACATTCCTGAACCACAAACTTCTGCTGAACACAACTAACACTATATTCTTAAACTTGCCCCATACATCTTTTCATACACCCATTGTCCTATAACTCTCACTAGCCCATCTGTCCCACCAACAGTTGTTTATATCTTACCCTAACTGCCCTCCTCCTTTAGTTTTATAAACCTCTCTCTTTTCGTGCGCTTCCATTTTCTATGTATTCCATTCTCCCTTTTACTCTCACTGTACCTACAGCTAAAAAGTGATCTGATATAAGCTGTGGCCCCTCAATAAACAATACATCCTGAAGTCTACCCAGCAGTATTTTAATTATACAAATATCTAGTCCAACAAACCTACAATCATTTGCCCTATATCTATCTTGTATAGCTTCTTTGACCCTCTTTTTTTCTTAAAATATGTGTTTACTTATAACCAAGCCCCTTTCTATACAAATTTCAATCAAAAGCCCCCAATATCATTTACACCTGCAAACCCAAAGCTTACATTACCACACCCTCTCTAAATGCTTCTCCTACTTTAGCATAGGTCCCCAAAGTACATGTACAAGCACTATGCAGGCCTAGCTGACATCAATGAACAATACTACTATAAAAAGCCAACTTGTATGCAAGCATTTCAGGCAAATTAGGTCAGTTTTGTCCCAGGATCCAACCCCATACCAAGCTGACTAATGCCCAGGTTCCCATTTTACTGATGGGTGAACAGGACAAAACCAGTGTAAGGAAACACACTCCAATGTTTCAAAAACACTTGCCGGGAGCAAAACCAGACCCTCACCCTTGATGTAGAACTTTTGCCACCCAGGGCCACCGGCCACTTCCATCTGTGGTCTATTTTGTCCTTTCACTAAGCTTCATGACTTTACACTTGTGGGGTTAAAACCCAGGAGACATTTAATCAAACTAGCCCTTGCATTGCTGTTCCAAATTAACAAAGTACTGTAAAGCAAATGAATCACATTCCTGGTATTATCCAGTTAATGAGGAATTGTTAATGAATTGGACGTATTTTCTTGGTATAAATACACCAGCCATCTCTCAACACGGTATTGGGGAGACTCACCACAACAAAGAGGAAGCACATTCACCATCATTCATGCTGTCACTGTCTTTTTGCCAAAAGCATTGCTGACCACCACAGTTTCAAGAATGAACCCTTCCCGAACAACACCATTAGAGTGTATCACCCTAAAGTACAGCAACAGGCGGTCATACACTAAACCACCCTGTGGGTTCTGTCCCAAGACATCTGTAGCGAGACAAGGCAGAGATCTTGCAGTCCGGCCTGAATGAGCATCAAAATGCCTCGTTAACAGAGAACAGATGTAAGGTACGCCTTTGTCCTCCACAGAGACTCCACGGGGCCATATGATGAACTGGAATGAGGCACAACCTCATTCTCACGAGAACCAACTTCAAGAACGCCGACGGTGCCATAGAAGCCTCACTAATCCCGTCACCAACACTGTAGAATGCAACACTAAAACTACAAAATTCAAAAAACATTGGCATACATGATAGCTCAAAGCACCACCAACCCAAACAACACAGGACGTCCATGATTTCATTGTCTACCCCGTCTCATCCCAACATGACATTCCTCAGGTCATGTGCGTCACTCCACATCTCACTCTCACGCCTATATATAGTAATGTCTTTCTAACTCTGTATGTTTAGAAGTGATCAAGTTCCAGGACACGAAACGTTTTCTAATAAATATGTCATATTGTTGCTTAAGTGGTCATTCTAAACCAATTTTAACGATTTATCTAAGACTTGTTAATAATAATATGGAGCCTATTTTATTTCTATTGACTGAAGATCCTGACTGAAAATAGACACCTGGCTGCTTGAAGAAGGCACTGGACAGTTACCTACAGTCAGTACATGACCCAGCCAATCTGTGGTATGTATATCAGTCCTATGTGTAGCCAGACAGTACAGCCACTTGATCAGGCCCTGATCCACACGAGGCCTGTGCAAGAGCCCAAACCATGGAGTGTTGACCCCCCGAAAACCCCGCTCCAGGTATACCCCAGAAGCTAAAAATGTCATAGTGTTTGTGCTGAATAACTTACATTATCTTATCTTGCAGAAATTTATTGACTACAATGTTACCAACCCTGAAGAGAAGCACAAGTATTCAAGAAGCCACCAATTGCAACCCATACCTTCCCTCTTTGGGTCGGCAGAACAGATTTTTTTAAGATGCTTGTCGTCCATGATCTGAACTACCCGCCAGATTAAAACTCTGGATCTTAAAGCTAGACTAAGGAGAACATGGAGAAGGTAATAAACACACAGGGTAATTTTTCTTCATTTCAATCGAATTTGCTTGACATTTAGCTGATGACTGACATGGGTGCTCTTCCTGTATTGCTCCTGACAGACTTCAACTTTATTTGCAGAATTTTTTAACTGCATTTCCCCTTATTCCTCCTTCCCCCATTCTGTTCATGTCCTCCCCTTAACACCTCCACCTCTTCTGTTCTGAAATCTTGTTCACCTCTGCCCTGTCCATTTAAGGAACCCGTGTGGGTTTTAGCACTTTGATCCATGAAATATAATAATAATTATGCATGGAAATGCTTCTATTCACACCATAAAAAAAAATAAAATTAAAATATTATTTCTTTGTTAAGGGTACAATGTTTTTTATACGCAGTATGAAGGAGCAAAGAAAACCACTATCCAGTGCCTAGGCATTTTTGGGCAGACTTAACCTACATACTTATAACTACTTAAGTCTAGAACAGGTGAAGAGTGGTAGAATACAAACCTGTCAGTCTCACTCTATTGTTAATTATGAAACTTATAAGAAATCTCTCCTACTTGCCTGCATTGCTATTAGGGGGCTTTCATTTGTGCCTAAGCCTATCAATGTTTTATTGCATATAAATTACATTATTTTAAGGTCGTAGGTTTGGGTAAGACAGCAGCCACCCAGGAGGTACAAACCATCCTGCCAAGTGCGAAGTTAAAAGCGGAATGCCTGTACAGTAGGGCCCCACTTATAGCAGGTTAAGTTCCAGGCAACTGCCAAGAAATGGGACATCACTAAGGAAAGCAGAATGCCATTTGTCTTTCCAGTTATAAATGTCAATAAGTTTACACTTACATTTAATAATTTAGTCAGTAGAACAAGCAATTAAAAAACATAAAAAGTAAAATACAACACAACCAGTAAACTTCATTACTTACTGTTCGCAACCCCCATCCTGAAGTGTCTCCTGTTGTCGTAAATTAAAAAAAAAAAAAAAAAACTTATGAAATGATAGAGAAATCTTTTCCCATTGTAATGACACCAAAAAACAACAAAAATGAGATGGAAAACAGAACGGAATACGCTCTCGCGAAGTACGACATCAGCAATATTTACAACTTGGCAATTTCACCCACTCTGCTCCCTATTTTCGCGGCTAATTTCCATATTGTTCCAGGCGACAAACTCATAATATTTTTTTTAGAAATCATTTTTTCTATCGATTGATACAAGAAACTGCCGCCCAATTACCTATTTCACCTACCCAATAAACGTGGTCAGAAATTTGCAATTTGCCAATTTCACGAAATTAAAAAGTAGACAATTTCAAGAATAAGGTTCAAATGAAACAATGCAGGACATTTCCTGGCTCTAAAAAGACAGTTTCTTTCGTTCATCCGTCATGTCTCCAGCCCCTGAGATATTACTCTTGCTTTTCTATTTTCTGAATTTTTAATCAACCAAAAAATAGAAGATTTACTGTTATGCAGACTACTGCAATACTGAAATAATTTGTATAAATAACATCAACCCATTCATTGACTGCATATTAAATGGCTAGTTTTACATTAAATTGGACAGATGAAAACTTTGCTTACTTTTGAACATCGGCAAAAATTAAAAACATTACCCCTACATTGAGCTCCATTTCCAGTTTTTTTTATAGTAACATCAGTCAAATCACCTCTAATTTCATAATATGTTTATTCCATTCCTATCAAATGAGACTCAAGAAAACGAGAATACAACCATAAATACTATATGAAAATAGACCACAAAGCGGCCATTTTAATTAACAAAAGGTCAGATTTTTTTTCTACATTATGCACCGCATGCTCCAGGATTTTTTTATATGTGCATACACTGACCACACAACCCAGTCTCTCACATGTGGCCTACCAGCTTTCTTTCTCCTGCTTCATTTGACGCTGCTAGAATTTATGAGTATACAGGAGGGCCCCACTTATACCGGCGGTATAAGGTTCCAGCTACCGCCGTAAAGCGGAAAACCGCCGTAAAGTGATCACCCTTTTTTTTCGCAGCTTACAAGGCTACAAACACTAGATAACAAGTTTACACAAAACATATATTAGGTTACAATAAACCAGAACATCAAAAACATTAAAAAAGTACAATACACACATAGTCACTCATTACTTACTCTTTAAAATATTTATAGTCTTAATCTAGGGTGAGACAAAGTAGTATTTATTGTCAGAAATCAGTGTGTATGTATGGTAAGTCAGCCAGGCTACCATACCCAGGCCACCCCACCCACACATACTATTCTTAATATTTAAGCATCCCAGAGCGATACAATTTGCTAAACAGTTCACTCATTACTTACCTACTAAAATATGGGAGAGATGAGTAGTATTTATTGTAAAAAATCAAGTGTGAGTATGTATGGTATTCAGCCGGCTACCAATACCAGAGAGAAAGAATGAGTGCATGAGAGAGGACAGGCGCAGAGTTAAGTAAACAAACCAGGCCGAAGTAAGTTTTGTAAACAGTTTACACGTCTGGTTTGTGTACAAGTTACCTAGTCTGTAGCAGTTGCGCTCTACATTGATACGGTAGAATAAATTAAAGAAAACACGCCCATTCCTTCCCATGTACCACATTTTGAGAAGAAATGATCTCTGAGTGAAGGGGGGCATTGGAAGTAAAGTCACTCTTGACTTTTATGGTTATCCTAGTTTCTCTACAAATAAGTGTTATGTATTTATGTTATAGTATCGTGTTTATTATATAATTTTGAAAATAATATCACGGATGGATTAATGAAATGTGTATATTAAACGTAAATATAACAACATTTAATGAACACACCGAGCTCAGAACAGCGATAAACAAACAAACTGAACAGTGTTGTGGAACGATCACTCGGTCGGCGAAATAGACACCAGTATTAATTACGGTCCAGTTTTAGTTCATTCATGTACATTTGTAAATTGTGAAACTTTTACCGCTTATAATATTTTTATTATTATAATAATTAAATCACGAACAAATACTCTTACACTGTGTACAAGTTGTACAGGAATCAAGCTAGAAAAGTGAAGGCATACGACAGAATATTTTTCTAGGTATCCAATAACAGGTGACGGGCTAGAGAAAACGAATTCTTTCCGACACTTCTACAAACCGTTTTGGTAAAACATCTCATATATATTTGATAAATTTTTATACTGCGGGTTGCATGTATCATGTTTGTGTGTTTACATAATGTGTTTCTTATATAATTTTGAAAAACATATCATAGATAATGAAGGGAAATGTTCTATATATAACGTAATATCGACATTAATGTGCCCAGAGATTAATTATTACTATTATAACTTATTATTATTATTATATTTTTATTATTTTGCAACAAGAGTAGAGAGACTCTTAGTGATTTTTAAATGTGTACCTACATGCCAGCACAGTGTGTAAGTATTTAGGTACAGTGTTCCACAATTTAATTACAAGACAATACAGATAAAATATACAATAACTTTAAAAACCCTTGAAAATTAGGAAAGTTTCCAGACATAATAAGAAGTGCTCAGGGAGAATGTAAAAACACTCGGTGGGTGCCTCTGTGGCCTATTAAGAAAGACAGGTGGGGGAGCCGAAAAGCGAGTTTTTGGTCATAATTTTGAAATGTCCGTATTAGCGGCACTGCCGTAAAGCAAAAACGCCATAAAGCGGGGCCCTGCAGTATATACGTCAAACACGGTACCACAAACCCTCGTAAGACGTATATCTATCGACCTAGACAGTCAATAGGTTAATAGGTGAGAGTGAATAGTGTTTATGTAAAGAAGTTTAGTTGTGGCAGGTAATGGTAAGCGCACCTCCGCCCTACCCCACATAATATACATCAACATTTTAACCCTTTGCTGTCACAAGGCCCCTTCTGAAATTGTTATTCTATGTTGCAAAATTTTTTGGAAAAAATCTAAATTATTTTTCTTATGAAATGATAGAAATATCTTTTCCGATGGTAATGAAGCCAAAAGTAGAAATTTGTCGAAAACTCACAGAATTACGCTCACAAATCAAGTTAGCGATCTCAGTGACATAAACGCATCGCGATTTCCACTGACTTTGAGAGCCCTGATTTATCGGCCATATTTCCGTTTTCCATGACCAACTCATAGCTATTTTTCTTTAGAACTCTCTCTCTTCTCCATTTTTATTCTGATCAGATGATTACAAAAAAAAGAAACCGCCCATTTACCGAATTGACTACCCTCCAATAAATGTCAGAAATTGGCAAACTCGGCCAATTTCATGCACGCAAATTAAAAAAAAGATGCCAAAATTCAAAATGGGTCCCGAATAAACAAGTGTAAGACATTCTTTACTATTCATTTTGGCTACTAAAAAAGCATAAATATACCTCTTAATTAAAATCCTATCCTCTATTCATATTATTATTTTCTTTATCCTCTATTCAATTAGTTCACATCCTCTAAAGAGGCCCCCTTATATTTACTTTTACTCTGGTTTTTGAGATTTTTATTTCATTACAAAAAATACAAAATTTACTGTTCTATGCAGACTACTGGCATTATTTTAATAAAGTAATAAATCATATCAGTCTGCACTAAGGAAAAAGAAATTAGAAACTCCCCATTCACATGTATTTGGACGTGTGGTTGTGCTTTGCTTACTCCTGAACATTGTGTAAAAATCGGGGCGGACATTTCCACTACTATTGACTCAATTTCCAGGTCCGTTTTTCGATTGTGAAATCTAATCAAAAGTCATCTGCTATTTCTGTAAGTCATGTTATCCATTTTATCTATATGAGGATCCATGAAAACGAGAATAAACAAAACGATGTAAATACTAAAAACGAAAGTACACACCTCAAAGTCTGCATCTTTAATCCAAAAAAAACGGTCAAGTAGTTGTGTGTCTAATTGCTTCGATATGCACTGCTTGCTTCAGGATTGTTTTTATGTATGCACACTGAACACTAACAAACCATGTCTACGTCAACATGATGGCCCTACCAGAGCTTTCTGCCTGGTAGATTGAAGCCTTTGCTGTGTAATACATTCGCTAGAATTATTGATATATATACGTCCGAAACACTTGACCACTGAAGACGTATATATACAACCAAAAGACAGTCAAAGGGTTAAAGAGCCCAAGTAGTGAGTAAAATGCATATAGTGTACACTCATATAAAATATTTGTAGTCTATTAAAGGGTCTGCCAAGTGAATACACCTCACCTCACTTAACAACAGAGATAGGGGCCTAAGACCCTGCGGTAAACATTTCACGCTAAACGAGGAATGAACCCCTTACGACACGTTCAAAAGTGCTCACCACCCAAATAGTAAAACATTTTGGTTATTGTTTGTTGGAAAATTCCTTTCAGCCTGTTATTTATATTAACAGATAATAAACATGAAGCAGGTCACTGACTTTACTTCCAAGATTCCAGGAAACACGTAACATAGCTGATACTTGGGAAGATGTTTACGTTTTGAGAAAATCACACATTTTTCCAGTCATCGCATATGGTAAGAGAGTCATTTTCTTCTATAGTTACTTCTTCCAGGCGCGTAACATTTTCTGATTGTATGGTCACGTCACATTTTTTTTTGTTTTATCCCTCCCTCCACCCTCCACTCTCAATACCTCTCAATTATAATATCAGTATTCATTAATTTGGGATAAAATTCTATAATCATGCTTCTACATTATAATGTGTTATACCTAATATTAGCCTGGAATGGATGTGATAGGTAGATAACCTTTATTGATAGTACAGTGGACCCCCGGTTTACGATCAGCTCCCAATGCAACCAATTATGTATAAGTGGTATTTAGTGTAAGTGCGTTTTGTTTTGTGTATGTTTTTATGGGGGACTGAAATGGACTAATCAAATTCACAATATTTCCTTAGGGAACAAATTTCGGTCAGGTACTGGACACTGAACATACCTCTGGAATGAAATAATATCGTAAACCGGGGGTCCACTGTAATAGTATAATTAAACAATATTTTATAGTGCCGTGAGCTTACACGTCCGTACATCATGGTGAAGCATGAATTAATGAGACTGCTGGTGCCTTCTCCACTCTCTTAAATAGCCCCAGCCCCACACATCCTCCAGTGCCTCTCCATATATGTCAGTTTTTATTAATTTGGGTAGCTTTTTCATGCTTCTACGTTATTTAATCAAACTTTTTATTCATCCATGACATAAATGTTTCTGTTGATTCCTCACCTTCACCTGCCTTCAAGGTCTCAAAGATACTTTGTGCCTTGGCATGAATAATTGAAAGGCTCATCGGTATTCTTTTTTGTATCCAATAGTCAAACCACATCACCAGTAATTTCTCCAGTTCTTGAATGAGGCCTTTCTGCTGCCTAGTTGTTATGGCTTGAAATCCTGTCAATGCTTTCACTGCCTCTTTCACTCTATCTTTATCCTTCAAGATAGTGGAAATGGTAGAATGTGCCACCTTCAAGTCATCGGCTATCACTTGTACTTTCTTACCAGCTTCATACTCATTTATAACCTTCATTTTCACCTCAAGATCAAGAGCCTTCCTTTGGTTCTTACCACTTCCTTCAGGTGAAGCCAAGATCTTCCTTTTTGCTGACATCTTGTACTATGGGATGCACAATAAAGTGCAAATTTGTACAAATATATATTCTTGGAGACAGTGAAAGCTGAGTGTCTGTAGGACGAAGTCTGAGATACTTGACGCTGAGACATCACTTTGCCTGTATAACTGCCATACGTATTTTGTACAAGTTTGGTAGCTAGCATTTAAGCTACTCCAGAGCAGTTGTTGTTGTTATTATTATTATTATTATTATTATTATTATTAGTAGTAGTAGTAGTAGTAGTGGTAGTAGTATTCTTCTTTCAACAAACCAGCTGCATCCCACTGAGGCAGGGTGACCCAAAAAGAAAAACAAAAGTTTTTCTTCTTTTTACATTTAGCAATATAGTATACAGGAGAAAGGATCACTAGCCTCTTGCTCCTGACATTTTAGTTGCCTTTTATTGGCACTTAAAACAATGTACAGTGGACCCTCGACCAGCGATGGCATCGATTAACGATAAATCTGACTAGCGATACATTTTATCGCAAAAATTTTGCCTCGATTAGCGCTAAAAAACTCGACCAACACTATTCGTTCCGTCTGAGACGCGTCCACTTCTGGCCAGTCTTTACAAGCCAGCCAGCCACCGCGGTCGCTTCCAAGCATACAATCGGAACATTTCATATTATCACAGCCTTTTTAGTGATTGCACCTGCAAAATAAGTCACCATGGGCCCCAAGAAAGCTTCTAGTGCCAACCCTACAGCAAAAAGGATGAGAATTACTATGGATATGAAGAAAGAGGTCATTGCTAAGTATGAAAGTGGAGTGCATGTCTCCGAGCTGGTCAGGTTGTACACAAAACCCCAATCAACCATCGCTACTATTGTGGCCAAGAAAACGGCAATCAAGGAAGCTGTTCTTGCCAAAGGTGCAACTATGTTTTCGAAACTGAGATCGCAAGTGATAGGAGATGTTGAGAGACTGTTATTGGTATGGATAAACGAAAAACAGATAGCAGGAGATAGCATCTCTCAAGCGATCATATGTGAAAAGGCTAGGAAGTTGCATGACGATTTAATTAGAAAAATGCCAGCAACTAGTGGTGAAGTGAGTGAATTTAAGGCCAGCAAAGGTTGGTTTGAGAGATTTAACAATCGTAGTGGCATACATAGTGTGATAAGGCATGGTGAGGCTGCCAGTTTGGACCAAAAAGCAGCTGAAAAATATGTGCAGGAATTCAAGGAGTACAGTGGACCCCCGGTTAACGATATTTTTTCACTCCGTAAGTATGTTCAGGTGCCAGTACTGACCGAATTTATTCCCATAAGGAATATTGTGAAGTAGATTAGTTCATTTCAGACCCCCAAACATACATGTACAAACGCACTTACATAAATACACTTACATAATTGGTCGCATTCGGAGGTAATCGTTATGCGGGGGTCCACTGTACATAGATAGTGAAGGACTGAAACCTGAACAAGTGTTTAATGGTGACACTGACAATGTTGTGAAACACTTTAGGAATGTCATAAAGGAACGGGAGGTACAGGCCTCTATGGGCAGATATGTTGTGCGACAGAGGTCCAGTGACTCTCAAGCTGGTCCCAGTGGCATTAAAAGAAGAAGGGAAGTAACCCTGAAAAAGGACTTGCCACCTCAAGTCCTAATGGAAGGGGATTCCCCTTCTAAATACTAAGACCATAAACACACTCCCCTCTTCCCATCCCATCAATCATCACCAGATCTTCAATAAAGGTAAGTGTCATGTAACTGTGCATGTCTTCTTCAGTTTGTGTGTATTAAAATTAATATTTCATGTGTTAAAATTTTTTTTTTTCAATGCTTTTGGGTGTCTTGCACGGATTAATTTGATTTCCATTATTTCTTATGGGGAAAATTAACTTGACTAACGATTATTTTGACTAACGATGAGCTCTCAGTAACGGATTAATAGCGTTAGTCGAGGGTCCACTGTATATTTGCTTCAGTTCTCCTTGTTGACTGTTTGAGCACGAGATTACACGGTCTGGCCATGAGTTTACATTTCAGTGCTGTGTGATAGTCAATAATGTTCTGTCACAGTTTACCCACTTACTCAGATTGATCTTGCAAGTCTTGGTGTTGTCCAAGCTTCCTTATATGAGCATAATGCATGGCTGCCAGCCATCACTACATGGTTCAGTCAAGGAACCAATTTCCCCAATTCTGAAATGTTTCACGTTAAATGAGTCTTAATAGCTATAGCTGAGGTACAAATAGAGTTTTGGATAAAGAAGTGTCTGATTCAACATTGAAATTTATTTTTATATCAGGGGGAGGACATGAGATTTTTTGAAGTGTCAAGGTGGGGCACGATGCAAAGAAGGTTGGGAACCACTGAACCACTGTCTTAGACATCAAGTGCAAATTAACCGCTTACATTTTTTCCTGTAGATTGACTCAATCACCTGTGTCTCGAAGGTGGACTTTGAGGAGCTGTCTCATAACATTGCCAAGATAGAGGTCGACTGTAAGGAATCATGGGGTCATCTAAAAGCCATTGCAAAACATGATGGTCCTACGCAGATTAAGCTTAAGTAAGATGGCTATTAATGCTAATTTACATTGTTCCACTGCACTGAGATCAGTTTGCCTAAGATGTGATTTTTATAATTACTAGAAGGTACTTGTGTGGTGTATTTACAGTAATTGTTATTATGAACTTGCTAGTGTAAACGTTTTTTATTTTTGAGAGTTGGGAGTTTTATTGTGCATATACTTTATTATTGACAGGTATGAGTGTTAATATGAATGAGTGTATGCATGGTACCTTGTTTTGGAGAAGACTGCTGAATGATCTAGTAGGTAAAAGCATTCTGTAATTTTTTTTTTTTTTTTTTAACGAGTCGGCCATCTCCCACCGAGGCAGGGTGACCCAAAAAACAAAGAAAATCCCCAAAAAGAAAATACTTTCATCATCATTCAACACTTTCACCACACTCACACATTATCACTGTTTTTGCAGAGGTGCTCAGAATACAACAGTTTAGAAGCATGTACGTATAAAGATACACAACATATCCCTCCAAACTGCCAATATCCCAAACCCCTCCTTTAAAGTGCAGGCATTGTACTTCCCATTTCCAGGACTCAAGTCCGACTATATGAAAATAACCAGTTTCCCTGAATTATTTTTTTTTATTATTATCACACTGGCCGATTCCCACCAAGGCAGGGTGGCCCGAAAAAGAAAAACTTTCACCATCATTCACTCCATCACTGTCTTGCCAGAAGGGTGCTTTACACTACAGTTTTTAAACTGCAACATTAACACCCCTCCTTCAGAGTGCAGGCACTGTACTTCCCATCTCCAGGACTCAAGTCCGGCCTGCCGGTTTCCCTGAATCCCTTCATAAATATTACTTTGCTCACACTCCAACAGCACGTCAAGTATTAAAACCCATTTGTCTCCATTCACTCCTATCAAACACGCTCATGCATGCCTGCTGGAAGTCCAAGCCCCTCGCACACAAAACCTCCTTTACCCCCTCCCTCCAACCTTTCCTAGGCCGACCCCTACCCCGCCTTCCTTCCACTACAGACTGATACACTCTTGAAGTCATTCTGTTTCGCTCCATTCTCTCTACATGTCCGAACCACCTCAACAACCCTTCCTCAGCCCTCTGGACAACAGTTTTGGTAATCCCGCACCTCCTCCTAACTTCCAAACTACGAATTCTCTGCATTATATTCACACCACACATTGCCTCAGACATGACATCTCCACTGCCTCCAGCCTTCTCCTCGCTGCAACATTCATCACCCACGCTTCACACCCATATAAGAGCGTTGGTAAAACTATACTCTCATACATTCCCCTCTTTGCCTCCAAGGACAAAGTTCTTTGTCTCCACAGACTCCTAAGTGCACCACTCACTCTTTTTCCCTCATCAATTCTATGATTCACCTCATCTTTCATAGACCCATCCGCTGACACGTCCACTCCCAAATATCTGAATACATTCACCTCCTCCATACTCTCTCCCTCCAATCTGATATTCAATCTTTCATCACCTAATCTTTTTGTTATCCTCATAACCTTACTCTTTCCTGTATTCACCTTTAATTTTCTTCTTTTGCACACCCTACCAAATTCATCCACCAATCTCGGCAACTTCTCTTCAGAATCTCCCAAGAGCACAGTGTCATCAGCAAAGAGCAGCTGTGACAACTCCCACTTTGTGTGTGATTCTTTATCTTTTAACTCCACGCCTCTTGCCAAGACCCTCGCATTTACTTCTCTTACAACCCCATCTATAAATATATTAAACAACCACGGTGACATCACACATCCTTGTCTAAGGCCTACTTTTACTGGGAAAAAATTTCCCTCTTTCCTACATACTCTAACTTGAGCCTCACTATCCTCGTAAAAACTCTTCACTGCTTTCAGTAACCTACCTCCTACACCATACACTTGCAACATCTGCCACATTGCCCCCTATCCACCTGTCATACGCCTTTTCCAATCCATAAATGCCACAAAGACCTCTTTAGCCTTATCTAAATACTGTTCACTTATATGTTTCACTGTAAACACCTGGTCCACACACCCCCTACCTTTCCTAAAGCCTCCTTGTTCATCTGCTATCCTATTCTCCGTCTTACTCTTAATTCTTTCAATTATAACTCTACCATACACTTTACCAGGTACACTCAACAGACTTATCCCCCTATAATTTTTGCACTCTCTTTTATCCCCTTTGCCTTTATACAAAGGAACTATGCATGCTCTCTGCCAATCCCTAGGTACCATACCCTCTTCCATACATTTATTAAATAATTGCACCAACCACTCCAAAACTATATCCCCACCTGCTTTTAACATTTCTATCTTTATCCATCAATCCCGGCTGCCTTACCCCCTTTCATTTTACCTACTGCCTCACGAACTTCCCCCACACTCACAACTGGCTCTTCCTCACTCCTACAAGATGTTATTCCTCCTTGCCCTATACACGAAATCACAGCTCCCTATCTTCATCAACATTTAACAATTCCTCAAAATATTCCCTCCATCTTCCCAATACCTCTAACTCTCCATTTAATAACTCTCCTCTCCTATTTTTAACTGACAAATCCATTTGTTCTCTAGGCTTTCTTAACTTGTTAATCTCACTCCAAAACTTTTTCTTATTTTCAACAAAATTTGTTGATAACATCTCACCCACTCTCTCATTTGCTCTCTTTTTACATTGCTTCACCACTCTCTTAACCTCTCTCTTTTTCTCCACATACTCTTCCCTCCTTGCATCACTTCTACTTTGTAAAAACTTCTCATATGCTAACTTTTTCTCCCTTACTACTCTCTCTTTACATCATCATTCCACCAATCACTCCTCTTCCCTCCCGCATCCACTTTCCTGTAACCACAAACTTCTGCTGAACACTCTAACACTACATTTTTAAACCTACCCCATACCTCTTCAACCCCATTGCCTATGCTCTCATTAGCCCATCTATCCTCCAATAGCTGTTTATATCTTACCCTAATGCCTCCTCTTTTAGTTTATAAACCTTCACCTCTCTCTTCCCTGATGCTTCTATTCTCCTTGTATCCCATCTACCTTTTACTCTCAGTGTAGCTACAACTAGAAAGTGATCTGATATATCTGTGGCCCCTCTATAAACATGTACATCCTGAAGTCTACTCAGCAGTCTTTTATCTACCAATACATAATCCAACAAACTACTGTCATTTCGCCCTACATCATATCTTGTATACTTATTTATCCTCTTTTTCTTAAAATATGTATTACCTATAACTAAACCCTTTTTTATACAAAGTTCAATCAAAGGGCTCCCATTATCATTTACACCTGGCACCCCAAACTTACCTACCACACCCTCTCTAAAAGTTTCTCCTACTTTAGCATTCAGGTCCCCTACCACAATTACTCTCTCACTTGGTTAAAAGGGCTCCTATAATTCACTTAACATCTCCCAAAATCTCTTCTCTCTCCTCTGCATTCCTCTCTTCCCCAGGTGCATACACGCTTATTATGACCCACTTTTCGCATCCAACCTTTACTTTAATCCACATAATTCTTGAATTTACACATTCATATTCTCTTTTCTCCTTCCATAACTGATCATTTAACATTACTGTACCCCTTCCTTTGCTCTAACTCTCGCAGATACTCCAGATTTAATCCCATTTATTTCCCCCACTGAAACTCTCTACCCCCCTTTAGCTTTGTTTCGCTTAGGGCCAGGACATCCAACTTCTTTTTTATTCATAACATCAGCAAAACATCTGTTTCTTGTCATCCGCACTACATCACGCACATTTAAGCATCCCAGTTTTATAAAAGTTTTTCTTCTTCTCTTTTTAGTAAATGTATACAGGAGAAGGGGGACTAGCCCATTGCTCCCGGCATTTAGTCGCCTCATACGACACCATGTCTTACGGAGGAAAGATTCTTTTCCACTTCCCCATGGACAATAGAAGAAATAAAAAAGAACAAGAGCTATTTAGAAAAAGGAGAAAAACGTAGATGTATGTATATATATATATGCATGTGCGTGTCTGTGAAGTGTGACCAAAGTGTAAGTAGGAGTAGCAAGATATCCCTGTTATCTAGCGTGTTTATGAGACAGAAAAAGAAACCAGCAATCCTACCATCATGCAAAACAGTTACAGGTTTTTGTTTCACAGTCATCTGGCAGGACGGTAGTACTTCCCTGGGTGGTTGCTGTCTACCAACCTACTACCTTCACTAAATGTTACCCTGCTCACACTCCAACAGATCATCAGGTCCCAAGTACCATTCGTCTCCATTCACTCCTATCTAACACGCTCACGCACGCTTGCTGGAAGTCCAAGCCCCTCGCCCACAAAACCTCCTTTACCCCCTCTCTCCAACCCTTTCGAGGATGACCCCTACCCCGCCTTCCTTCCCCTATAGATTTATATGCTTTCCATGTCATTCTACTTTGATCCATTCTCTCTAAATGACCAAACCACCTCAACAACCCCTCTTCTGCCCTCTGACTAATACTTTTATTAACTCCACACCCTTTCCTAATTTCCACACTCCGAATTTTCTGCATAATATTTACACCACACATTGCCCTTAGACAGGACATCTCCACTGCCTCCAACCGTCTCCTCGCTGCTGCATTTACCACCCAAGCTTCACATCCATATAAGAGTGTTGGTACTACTATACTTTCATACATTCCCTTCTTTGCCTCCATAGATAACGTTTTTTGACTCCACATATACCTCAACACACCACTCACCTTTTTTCCCTCATCAGTTCTATGATTAACCTCATCCTTCATAAATCCATCCGCTGACACGTCAACTCCCAAGTATCTGAAAACATTCACTTCTTCCATACTCTGTAAATATGACTTTCTTCCACAACACTGAGAAGGTAAGTTTATTTAGGTACAGGTACACATAAGTACAATTATCATATCAAGTAATAGGTGTGCAACTCACCCAGGATAACCCAGAAAATTCAAAATTACTTATTTCATTTGGGATCCTTGTAATATCTTGTCCATTGTCATAATATTTGTGCTAGTGAAACATTGCATAAACTGAGGTTTTATTATGCAGTTTGTGTTTCCTTGCAGTGTGCTTCAGTGAACCAATGAGTGGGACAGTAGTGGATTAAGACCCAGGTTGGAATATTTACTGGAACAGTAAGTGGGGAAATTGCAGTTCAGAAATTCATTTAGACTGTGGTGTCTGTACATTTACAAGACAACTGTTGAATGACTGATTACCAGTGTGTCTACAAATGTCATGGACTACACATAGACAGCTGTTGAATGCATAATAATGATAATAACTTGATAATCTTTATTACTACATGTACATGTACATGGGATAAATTAGAACATGTGCAAAACTCTTGGTCTCTGTGATTGAGGAATAAGACGTTGCAGTACAGTGTCTGACAGGATTGGTAGATGAATGTTCAGAGAAAACGACTTGTTGATAAAATTAGACCATGTGCAACTCTTGCCACATGTGTCTAAAATTTTGTTTGGATTCAACACGTCGTGTTCTCTGAACCATCATCTACAAGGTACAAGGTTTGTAACAGACCAGAGCTACATCACTGACATACTACTATGTTATAGAAAGCCCTTGTTATGCAGATCATTTTGGGCATATTAAGTCACTCTATGTCCTGGGATTGTGACCCACACCAGTTGACTATCACTAGGTACCTATTTTACTAACTAGTGTTGACCTTGGACAAACAGGGTTGTCTTAGAAAAACATGTCTTGATGTTTCACGTACAGGGATCGACCCCAGACCTCAGTGTGTGAGCTGAATGCACTCCCAATTGAGCTACAGGACACTGTAATGATTCCAGTGTGTTTACAAGTGTCCTGCGACCTGTACATAGAATGTCTTGTCCACATTGTAGTAATGCCTCCAGGTATGGCAGAAGGAGACCCCTGGTCTTAACAACCTTGGTTAAATAAAACTTGATAAAGCTCAACTCCATAATAAGAAACCTCACTCTGTGTCTGTACTAAGTGTCAGTCTATAATGAAGTGGCCTAAACAGTGCTGGTGGAGACTGTAAATATAAAGATTAGATTTTGCCACCGAAGTGGCTAGTTTATTGTGCACCCCATATCCATCCTGTGGATGGTAGCGCAATAAAGAGCATATGGAAACACCAAAAGGCCCAGGAAACTAGGTGCCCCAAGGGAGTTAACATGAATACATATGGATTTATATTTACATATCTATAGTTCACTTATCTGTTACAAGCAAATTTAGGAAATTTGATTAGGTATAGTTCTGTGTTCTTATTTTCATTAATAAGATTATTTTGACATGTCACGAGGGTTATGTATACTGTCCATCTGCTGTGTTCCTCATTCAGTGGACAATTAAAGACAGAGTGTTCAAGACAGTGACATATGCTGATCACATAATTTACGCATTAAGTTTGGTCATCATCTGTGTGTCTCCCAAACTGCCAGTAGTACTTGTAACAAGCCTAAGCCTGGCCACTAACGATATCGTGTCTGTTCACATTCACGTTGCTCCATAAACATACTTATCTAAGTTCATGTTATTTAAGTGGTTATAGGATCTACTCAGGCTTCAATTGCATTCCGATAAACAATCATTTATATTATTTCTCCTCCTAATCTTAACATAATGCTAGGGACACAGTCGTATACAAAGTTATATTCTACATTCTTCTCTGGGTACTCATCTTGGCTAAACAGTATCAACTTTATCATGCAAGGAGTAAATCCAATGTGTGATGGGATCATAGGCAGCGGTACATTACTTCCTTTGTCCTGATTTTTGAGGTATCTATACCTGGCTTTCTCCAATGAGCATGTTATTGGGAGTTATTATACGAGACAAGAGCCGCTTCAATGAATGACATAGAATCAGTAATGATGATAGAGTCAGCTCGTGTCATAAGTGTTAGCTTTAGCGCCATTAGGGATTGCCAAACAATTCAGTTTGGCAGTGTAGCACGCCCCAGTTCGTTAATTCATATGCCTAAACTCAACCAAAATTATTATAGTTCTTAAACTGGGAGGTTGGCAAAAGAGCAGAGCATCCCTCGCCGAGAGACTCTGTTTAGATCCATCAGTGTTATATAACTTGTGATAACTTATTACTACCAGCTAGGCAGAGAAATGTTCTTCTGAGCAGTGCTTTAACAGGTAGATTTAAGGAAGAGGAGTTATAGCAATGAGCATTCTTGGGATCTGGGACTTGCAGGTATGTGATATTAAATGAACACATCTTCCATGAGGGCACATGTGGATATGCTTCTTGTTGCTACAGTGATACAGTTCATGCAGGTTATGATACTTAACTGCAATTGCACATTTTCACAAGCCATTTAGATCTATGTGTAATTACCTCTAGACACTGGCTAAGGATTCATTGTGAACAGAGTCTGGTTCATATTCTCAACATTATAATACGTGCAGTGTTTAATCTCAAACGATCTATCACTGATTACTAGAAATTACCATGTCCCCTCCTCATATTAAGGAACCTTTGTAGATCCGGGGACACCCAAGAATAATACTGAGAGCTTCATTCTGCATTATTCCACGGGGTCGGAAGAGAACTTTCCTAGCTATGTTACATGGAGCACGCATTAATCGAATTAAGGACCTGACATAAGCTATGTACATCATTCTCACCGATTCTATCATTAGCACCATAGTTTAGGTTGTAGCCCAGAGCAACAGCTTTGAGAGACATTTAGCTCTATCTTTTGCATTTCTTATTTATTTTTTCACGTTCTGGTATAGTGGATTTGTAAAGGGTAATCTACACAAGATATCTTATGGCTCTTTAATGTAGCTAATGATTTCACCCTGCAAATAGATGGGTGGGGGAGTCGTTTGCGTGTTAATATCTTTGTTTAGGAAGGATATTTTGACTGAGCATATGTCGATTACAAATTGCTTGAATTCATTAGAATGGTGCTCATTTCTCATGCCCTGTGTATGTATCATGGATGTTATCAGCGCATAGCTTATAGCTATATGTTTAGGTAAGGCAGTAGAGCTTTTAGGAGAGCTTAATCAGAATATTAAATAGCTATGGGACTAAGAACTCCTCCTGCGTGTGTACCTAAAGACATTTCTTTGTCTCACTTCTAAAGCCTTGATAAAGGACAGAGGATACTCTTTTTGACAGGTATCCTATTATCCAGCAGAGTAAAGCTACCACCAATATTCATTTTGGCTAGTTCATGTAGTATAACGGTTCTGTTCGCAATATCAAATGCAGGTTTTAGATCAAGAAAAGTGGTAAAACTAGTAGAGGTGTGTGCAGTGAGAAAGGTGGAAATACAGTTCTGCACATTTTTACCTTTCATGAACCCATAGAGGTAGGGGGAAAGTTGGTGTCTGATTCTGTAGTACAGTCTGTTAAGTATCATTCTTTCAAAGGTTTTACAAAGACAACTAGTTAAGGAGATCGGTCTAAATGTATCAGGCTGTTGGGGCTTAGGGATAGGCACAATGACACTATTGGTCCAGGAAGTAGGAAGAACGCCCTCAATGTAACTGAGATTATACAGTGCCAACAAAGAGTTATCAGGCACGTGCCTTAGAGTTCTGAGAATATCCTAGGTTATACCATCCTATCCAGGAGCAGTTGATCGACCTTTAGTTAATGCATTATCTAATTCATACTCGGTGAAGAGGCAATCACTCTCATCAATATTTTGGCTCATAAAATTGATCAGTTTCAACATTTCTTCAGAAGTACTCTCTAAATTTTTTCTAATATGAGATGGAACGTTTTCATGCCTGGATGTTTTGGACCAGTCATTTATGAGGTCATTTGCTTTTTCAAGAGGAAAGGGATGAGCAACATTGCCAGTCTTTTTCCTGGTTGTTTTATTTATACCTTTCCAAGCCAAGCTTAAAGGGGTGGACCTATTTAATTCACTAACAAATTGTTCCCATTCCTGTTGCCTAAGTTCTTCCTTTCTATTCCTTGCATTTGTTAGTGCAGCTTGGAACATTCTGAGCACATCTGGGGTTCTACATTCACAGTATGCTTTACCAATCCTCCTAGCTGCATGTGTTAGATTGTGTAACTCTGGATCATTATAGTATTTATATTGGTTTTTATTGTTATAGTGGAGGGTCTATGTTTCCTTTTCCTGCCCACTTGATCTGTGAGGACAGTCTCAATAGTGGTAACTAAATCATCATTAAATTTTTGTGTGCCAGTGGGCTGGTAATTCTTATACCATTGATCCAAGTGGTTAATAAAGTTATCTCTGTGTTCTTGGTTGAGAATAAGGTTCCTCCTTCTGAATTTAGCTTCTTGATTGCTGGAGATGTGATCAAGATTGACAGTTGTTAGTCTTGGGAAGTGATCAGATAGAAGATCATCAACTATGACAGAGTCATGCATCGTATATGATGTATTAAATCCAAGGCACAGATCTAGTATGCCACCATAAATGTGAGTAGGCTCAGTAGTGCCCACAATTCGAACATTATCATGCTCATTTAGCAATTTCATAGTTAGTTCATTGGTCGTTTGTTATAGTCCACACCAATATTTTTATGTCTGGCATTTAAAGTCTCCAAGAAATGAGGGTTAGGTTCACTATTGATGCGATTGGTAAAGCATTCAGGTCGAAGCTGAGTTCGCTGGGGCATAGAGAATTAAAAATGTTTATGGAGAAAATATCCTGCACTATACTTTGACCACCCATGATATGCATTGTTAACTCGATCTCTGCAGGAAAGGAAAGGAGTGAATGTGGCAAGTTCTTTCTGGATACATCCACACACAGTTGGTTGACCTTAGGTTATAAAGCTGCTATACAGGCAAGTTAGGTGGAGGCGCTCAATTTTTCGTATACCATTCTGCAAACAGATTCCATTAATATTCTTGGTTGCACTATATGATGTAAGTCAGGCAACATCTTCCTGTTGGAAGCAATGTTCTATGAAAAGATTTGTATGTATCCAATGTAGTGGTTTTATTTACAATCTCTTGTCATAAGATGGTAAACTATTATGCTTTTGGCTATAGTCGTGCAGGCACTTAAGAGCAAAAATAACATAGTTTGTACGTGGTTATCTTCTGAAACCTTTATTTTTAAGCATTTTTTCGGCTCTGGCAGCCAGTTAAAAGGGAAGTGTGAAGCCAGAGTCATGGGCTTCTT